ATTTCAAAAGTGCTTTTAATAATTTTTTGATAGTTGCTGATAATACTTAAAACTAAAACCATAATTTAATCTACATTGAAATCTTATTTCAAAAGTGAACATTATTTCAATAGTGGTTGCAACCTATGTTTGTTATTGAAATGAATATCACCCACTATTGAAATAATTATTTCAATAGTGGCCGTATTTCAATAGTGTTTACTAGCTATGTATGTTATTGAAATGCACTCTCAACCACTATTGAAATAATTATTCCAATAGTGGTCGTATTTCAATAGTGGTTACTAACTATGTTTGCTATTGAAATGCACTATCAACCACAATTGAAATAATTATTTCAATAGAGGTCGTATTTCAATAGTGATAACTATAGCTAGCTACGTTTGTTATTGATATGCACTCTCAACCACTATTGATATAATTATTTCAATAGTGGTCGTTATTTCAATAGTGGTTATAACTATGTTTGCTACTGAAATGCACTCTCAATCACTATTACTGCAATTATTTCAATAGTGGTCGTTATTTCAATAGTGGGTGCAACACCCGGGCCTCCCTATCACGAAGAGAAGGCTCTACCTCTAGGCTACAGTGAACGGTTGAAAATTATTGACAACGTGATGAAACAAGAATTTTAGCTGTCTCGTTTAAAGTCATCATTTTGTAAGTTTATGGTCGATACAAAGACCTTGTAAGCTAGTACAGTTGAGTCAAATGCTGACCGACTTTTTTCGTACTTATTGTTTTTCCATTATTTATACACTGAATTGACGACGGATTTTTTCGTTATTCCCTGATCATGACAAGGACCTTACGGCGGGTGTAAGCGGTCGACAGGGGATGCTTACTTCTCCATGGCACTTGATCACACCTCTGATGTTTTGGAGGTCGGCGTTTGCTTACGATTTTATACTACTAGATAAAGTAATGAAAATGAAATAATGAAACAAACCAATCTATTAAAACGATATGAACATATATAACAGAATGAACTTATAGAATAAAAATGCAATCAGACGTAAAAAAAATGGCAAGGGCAAAAACCAAACAAAGCTTTTGATTTAAAGATGACTGGGATATTCTTCGCTCACTTCTGAGAGTGGGAAATGCTAATTACAGTTGGTTAATCGGTCTGTCTAGCTCTCTGACCGTTTGTTTAGCTGTCTGTCTGTCTGTATCTCTATCTCTGTGTAATAGTTTTGTTTCCACAGGATATCTTGAAAAGCAATTCAACTTTTGCAATGGCATTTTTCCGAACAACTCCCTATAGCTAGTGAAGACATTTGTTGGCTTTTTTTAAAGATTAAATGTCAAAGTCCTGAATTTAAAAAAAACAGGCCTTTTTGTCACGTTGCTTTACATATCTTGAGAACCTGAGGGCTTTTGCAATGAATTTCATTTCACAATTTTGATAGCCTAATAAAGACCCCCTTTTGTTTGGGTCAAAACGTCAAAAAGTCCAGCTCGTACATTAATCATTCATGAATAATATTGTCTGTTATGTTTAACACTTTCGTTTCCGCGCGATATATCGAAAATTAGCTTATAAACGCACTATAAGAGATTATGATGATGTAAATTTTAAGAATATAGAAAATGATCTTAATAAAATCAATTGGTATTCCACAGTCTTTAATTCCTCAAACATAAATGAAATATATGATAACTTCTTACACACATATGATGCTATCTTGGATAAACATATACCTAAAAAGGTAGTCACAATTAGGCCACGAGATAAACCATTTATGAATAATAGTATACGTCTAAGATTAAGGCAACGGAATCGTATACAGAGAAAAGCAAAACGTAAAGATTGCCCAAACTTATGGTGTCGTTTCAGAGAGCTGCGAAATGAAGTAATTTCCATGGTTAGAAATGCTAAAGAAAAGTATAAGGAAAAAATAACATCTGAAATACTTAATAAAGATATACCACCAGGTAAATGGTGGCGAATTACGAAATCAATCGCTAAACTTTCGAACAAACATAAACCTATGCCTCCTATAAAATCAAATGGTCAAATTTTACTTCATCCATTAGAAAAGGCAGAAGCTTTAAATAATTTTTACTCAAATGTTTCTAGTGTTGATGAAAGTAAAACAGTACCTGAGCATGGTCCTGGTCCTCCCTTAGTAACAATTAAAACATAATTGTCACTGAACAAGATGCTGCTGATCAATTAAACAATTTACATTGTAAATGTAAACAAACCTCCTGGCCTATATGGTATAACACCAAAAATTCTTAAACAGTTATCCTCCTCTATTTGTAAACCATTAGTAAAACTTTTTAATAAGTCATTTGAATCAAAACGTTTACCAAATGTTTGGAAGCAAGCTAATATTACCCCAGTTTTTAAGGGTAAAGGTAGTCCTGACTTAGTTAATAACTACAGGCCAATTTCACTAACTAGTGCGGTTTGCAAAATTATGGAAAAAATTATCTTTAAATTTCTGTACAATTTTATATTAGAAAACAATATCTTAACTAAGTACCAGTCAGGATTTCAACCAAATGACTCAGCTGTCAACCAATTAGTGGAAATTTATAATACGGTTATATCTAATGTATTCAAAGGCAAAGATGTTATATTCATTTTCTGTGATATGTCAAAGGCTTTTGACAGAGTTTGGCATAAAGGTCTACTTTTCAAATTAGAATCTTATGGAATTCAAGGTACATAATTAAAATGGATTGAAAATTATTTAGATGACAGAGTTCAAAGAGTGGCTGTAAATGGGTTCTTTTGAAATTTTAAACCTATATTAGCGGGTGTTCCTCAAGGCTCTGTTCTAGGTCCGTTCCTATTCCTCCTGTATATTAATGACATAACTGATAATTTAGTTAATAATACAAGGCTATATGCAGATGATATATTACTGTTTATAGTAATAGATGATGATATTAATGCAGCAGCAATATCACTTACATCTGATTTAGATAAAATCAATAAATTGGCCTCAACATGGGCTGTGGATTTTAATCCAACCAAAACCTGTAATGTAAATTTTACAAGAAGTTCAAATAACCATCCCCCAGTACATTTTGGCTGTAATGGTAGCATTATTAGAGAATCTAGGACACATTGTCATCTTGGACTTCTTTTCCAAAGTGACGTTAAATGGACATCTCATTTAAATAATTTATACGAAAAAGCTTATTCTCGGCTTAATCTTCTAAGAATGTTGAAACATTTGTTAGATAGAAGTGCTTTGGTAAAAGTCTTTTTTGCTTTAATTCGACCCATTTTAGAATTTGGTAGCATTGTTTGGGATAATTGCTCACAAGAACTTTCAAATCTTTTAGAAAATATTCAAGTAGAAGCTGTCCGAATAATAACAGGACGTAGGAAAAATTCATCAAGAAATGCTTTGTATTTAGAATTAGGTTGGGAACCACTAAATAAGAGAGGGGAAAGACAAAAACTTTTTTTATTCTATATAACTGTTTATGGTATAGCCCCTCTGTTGCAACCACTATTGAAATAACGACCACTATTGAAATAATTATATCAACAGAGGTTGAGAGTGCATTTCAATTGCAAACATAGTTAGTAACCACTACTGAAATACAACTACTATTGAAATAATTATATCAATAGTGGTTGAGAGTGCATTTCAATAACAAACATAGGTAATAACCACTACTGAAATACGACCATTATTGAAATAATAATATCAATAGTGGTTGAGAGAGCATTTCAATAACAAACATAGGTAATAACCACTATTGAAATACGACAACTATTGAAATAATTATTTCAATAGTTGGTGTGATTCATTTCAATAACAAACATAGGTTGAAATGATGTTCACTTTTAAAATAAAGATTTCAATATGGAATAAATTATTGATTTCAATAGTGCTTTGAACAATAAATCCAATATACATGTTTATGGAAATAATTATTTCAAAAGTTGCTAACGTGATGAAACTTTTCGTTCAATACTTGTAGTATTTCAATAGTGGTTGAAACCTATGGTTACCATTTTGAAATGCACTCTCATCCAATATTAAATATTTATTTCAGTAATGCCCGTATTTTAATTGTAATTGAAACCTATGGTTACATGTACCATATTGAAATGCACTCTCACCCACTATTGAAATAGTTATTTCAATAGTGATATTTCAATAGTGGTTATTACCCTATGTTTGTTATTGAAGTATTTCAATAGTGGTTATTATCTACGGTGTGTTTGTTATTGAAATGCACTCTCAGCCACTATTGTTGTCGCCCACGTGTCGCAGTGGTTAGAGCGTATGCTCTAGAGTCGCCAAGTAAGGAGTCAATCCTTACGTCGCGGGTTCGAATCCCACTGCGGGACGTGGAGACCGGTCCTTCGGATGATGCCGTATAAACCGAGGCCCCGTGACGCAGTAGGTGTTGGCACGAAAAAGATCCCTCACTGCTCAAAGGCCCTGAGTGCCGAGCATAGGACAAAATTTGTAGCCCTCAATCGGCAAGTGGTGACGTCTCCATATGAGTGAAAAATTCACGAGAGGGACGTTAAACAATATACAATCAATCATTCAACCACTATTGATATAATTATTTCAATAGTGGTCGTATTTCAATAGTGGGTACGAACTGTGTTTGCTATTGAAATGCACTCTCAACCACTATTGATATAATTATTTCAATAGTGGTCGTTATTTCAATAGTGGTTGCAACACAGCATATTGATAACAGTTATTAACCTATAGTTATGAATATTCCTATTATTTTGAAAGTAAGTTCAGATAGTGGATTTAAAAAGAAATATGCATATTTCAACTGAAAGCATAAGCATAATGACAACGAACTTAAAGGTTTTTTGTGTCCGCTGAATGGTGACTGCAAGGAGCTGAAATCTAATTGAATGATAACTGAAAGGTTACTGAAACTTATCTGTCATTCAATCTTTGAATAGCCACTACCAAGTAAGTGAGAGCCACCTTTCAATTTGGCTTTCAGTTTAAACTGAAAGGTCTTGATTCTTTCTCTGCGTCATCAAAACAGATTGTGGAAAAAGGCCATAAAGTAGACCATGATGTTTGCGAAATGTTTATTTCAAACAATGTTGTAAATACAAATGTATCATTACCTTGTTTTTTAGTAGATCACCTTGTTTAAAACGAAATCTTTTGAAGAACATGTTTTGTAGCGAATCAACTGTGAGACAAAAAGTCCAAGACCAAAGAGATAATGGTATATTGGAACATACATAAGAGGATTCATAATATCATAACAAAGTCTTTTTTTTTCAAATTCATCTCATGGCAATACAATGGTAAAGCATATGTTATATGGTTAACATAAAGACTGTTTATGAGTCTCATAATATATGCACAAAATAATTAAATATAGTAATCCTTGAAAGATATTAAACATGTTATTGCCACAAAATTACGGTCCTATAAGGACTTATTCAAATAATAATTTTCTTATGATTCATCCATTTTTTCTGTGGAAAATTTGTTCATTTTTACATCCAGTGCCCCAAGAACACTTTCAATCGGCGTTACACAGGCAGTATTGTAAGAAGTACCTCCTACAATCATCCCTATGCAGACAAGCTGATCTTCACCTCCTGCAGAGTCGACTTGGAAAACAAAGGATCCAGAATCTCCTTCAACTGCAAAAGGAAATGTTGGTGTTCCAGATATTTCTATCTGTGAACGATATATATGTGAAGCCTGTGATATTGGATTAGTTAAGGACAATTGAGGATCTCCATATTTTGCAGCCATTCCTTCTAATCGTATTAAGCCTCTTGTTAATCCACTTTTAGCGCCGCATTTGATACATGCATTATTACGCGACTCTTGATCAGACTTGTAGTCGCGAGTAGCGCCACTTGAATATTCTGGAAGTCTTTCTAAGCTGAAACCTAAAAAAACATCCTTGTTAAACCATTTGTAAAACGTTGAATGAAATTTTGTCCAAATTTTAAATATTTCCTAGGATACCACAACATTTATAATATCATAATTGGATAAAAAATCACTTTCTCCAAAAATTAGTCTATAAATTAATTAATTTTTGTCAGGGTTTCCTCTCTCACTGCTTAATGTGAGCTTGCCTTTGAAAAAATGCAAAATTCTGTTTGTCCAACTACTTTAACTGGAAATAATAATGTAGCAATGCAGTTAATTTTTTTTACGTAGGAAAAAATAATTTTATCCTTTAGAGAATTTTGATACCATAGTTGAAATGTTTTCTTATTTCATTTCTAGAACATGAAAAGGTTTCTGATTTAAAAATTACAATAAATGAAAAGGGAAGATATAACAGCTCTAGTGCTTTGCTAGTTTTATTTCTCCTTTGCACATACCACATTCTGTCAATTCTGAAACTCTCTGTATTGAAAATAATCCTCTATTAGGCATACGGCACTCAAGCTTTACGACCGTTGCATCAACTGAAACATCTTTGTAATAATTATTTGGGAAAACTGATGCATGGTGAACTCCACAAACATTTGGATTTGGGGCACAATTACTGGAAGGCTGTACTATCTCGAATGGTTGTCTCAGATTCGGAGAGTTGCTTTTTGCAAAATCGAAGAAGACATGTGCACAAGTTATTAAGCCCAACTCTCCTGTTCTTAAGGTAACAAACCCACCAAGGGTACCTTCCTTGTAATCTCCTGAAATTATATTTGAAAAGAAAACATAAGATTGCTCTTATATAAATACTTGTATTGTTTTACTTCAAATATTAATCGAAACCTATTCGTATTTGCACATTTTCTTTGAATTGTTCCAATATATATTATGAACTAGAAGGTTTTCATATTTAAGTTGTAAATTTTCATGTTATTGTCAATCGATTCAGTATGTATTTTCATGCACTTTGAGAATTTTTTCAAAAGTCAAACAATGTGTTGGATGACCAGTTTTATAGAATCACGGCATTCTCCTTTATTATAAAATGCGTTTTAAATATATATAGATTCTCCATTGGTCACTTAAAGTTAAGTTAATAATCTCAAAATGAAACTCTAAATAAGGTAATGTTTAATCATTCTGAAAATCTTAATTACTCTCATTATGACCCTTTGGTAGTTTGTTTTTTCCCCAAATCAATGTCTCCTATACACTTAGTTATGTCTGTAGGTCTATTGACTAAACACATGCATAAATTAAAATAGACAATCAATTTTTTGCAATATTTTGTGTAACATTTTTCAAAATAAAAAATGTATAACAAATAAACACAAAGCTTTTGTTTAGAAAGCATGTTTCTTATTCTATCAGCCTGTCAGCCAATAACAAAGTGGAGATGACGAGTAGTAAACGATTTCATAAAATAAAATATATTCCTGTACACTGTAATAAATACAAACTTTTGAGCAGGGTATTTAACAAAAACCCTGGGAGTTCAAGAGGTTGGATCACTCACTAAGAGGGAAATGGTTTTCCCGATTGGTCAAATAAATCTGCCTTGATTTTTTGTTAAAATCGGGTATAAGGAACATTTTTTAGTCAGTCTAATTTAAAAGAAAAACCGCTTAAACATGGTATGAAATAAGTCAACTCACAAACGACCTAATGACAGGTTATTTTTAATCAACACTGACTTTAACATCAACTTATTTGTCATAAACCTGCCTATTTTAAAAGAAAAGTGATCGTGAGTATAGAATAAACAACATGTGTGTTATTGTGGTATATTACTACATGAATAAGGAAAAGTCATGTCGTTTGTCATGCAATGAAGCTGTTAGTTTGCCTTAATTATCTATAATAAGTAAAACATCCAAACACATCACAGATATGTTACACTCTGTGATGTCTTTTATTTGAAGTTCACTGGGACATATCGAGTCGACATATTAATGGAAGTATCTTTTCTTAATTGATAATACGTCGTCGCTATATAGAAAGTTTGATTGTTTTTTTTTTTCATTTTCGTATTGAAGTTTTTGAATAAACCCCGCTTCATATAAAAACAGAAATGGATGTTCTGGTTACGGGGATGCTTGTGATACCTATGGGAATTCCAATAGAGTGTTCGAAAACCTGATTTAAGGTTCATTAACCGTCTACTCACTTATATAAAATGTTGCTTGAACTTTAATATTTTTTTTCTAAAGAAATGTATTTTATGAGTAAAAAACAAATAATTAAAGCATAGCTTGATGGGCAAAATTGGACAAAATGACACTTCAACTTAGCAAATCTATAAAGGAATAATAGACATTTATATCAATAAGAGTTATCTCACTTATCAGAATATAAATTTCCCTTAAAAGCGTAAAAAATTACTGGTTAACAAGACTTCAAGCATTTTGTAAATATATACTTCAGAGTACTTATATGTAGAATTGGAATCATTTAAAACAATTATTTTTGCGAAAGACCAATTCTATGGCCATATATTTACGATTTCATTGGCTAAATTTTTCAAGGGAATGGTTATATTGAAATTTGGAAGAGAGGAATGTTTTGTAATTATTGATTTATTAACATTCTATAAATTTTTCAATTTTCTAATAATCCTTCTTAGCATTTACATCTGATATACCCTACTTCTCAAATATACTGTTCGACATTACTCTTGGGGAAACTTTTCCTTAACTGCTGTAAAATATTTTGCAAGGAGTAAAGAAGAGGCCTATTGAACCAAAACCCTTTGTGACACTGGTCCCTATATGATTTTAAAAATACCGAGAGCATGCCGACGGAACAGTTGCTAAATTTTCATCGAAAATATTCGAACTCACGCCCTTCTGTTCCCGGAGCAAATTTGAGCCACCATGAGGGTCAAAATGTATTGAAATTGGTTCTCTTGTTAGAAATGAAAATGTAAAGGTATTAGGCACGTAATAAGACCACGAGGAAAAATTTATTGCAAAAATATTATGCGTGAAAATGTTATAGTTATGAAGAAACGATTTTTCCTCGTTGGTATCTGTGCAAGTTCTAAAGACAAATAGTTCAATTTTGTTGAGATTTTATAGAATCTAAAGATTAAATGAAAATCTAACTTAGTTTACATTTGTTTGTTAGTATGGGGTTTTACGTCTCTCTTGATTTTTTTTCCACTTATACGGAGACGCCATCACATGCAGATGGAGAGCTTTAAATTTTGTTGTATATTCGACACTTACGACAATAAAAGAGAAGGATATTTCTCGTACCAGCACTAATTACATGTACGATACGCGACATTGGTTTATATACAGTCCCTTCTAAAGGATCGGTCTCCACATCCCACAGTGGGTTAAACACCCGCAATGTATGGATCAACACCCTACTTCGTGACTCTCAATCAGACGTTCTAACCACTGCCCACTTGGGCGACAAAAGAGTACATGTTCATGTTAAATAAATTCTTTAAAAATATATATATTTACATTTAATTTTTAACGTCCATGTAAAGAACATTTATGTGATTTTCAAAGGCATTTTCTTTCATAAGAATAGAGTTTTTCTAAGAAATAAAACATTTTTTCAGAGATTTATCGTAGCTTCATATTACCTTTTCTTCCTATGCTGGCACCAATTCTCAATGGATTAAGTTCTTCAGAGGAACTTTTAAAGAATCCATCATTTGGAAAAAGATAAAAGAATCCTTCACGTACATCTGTTTTTATTCCATTGATACATTTTGGAAATTCAGCTTCATTTAAAGGAACGACTGATTTGCAGGAACAATACATCACAATACATAACTCAGGAGTAATTCTTGTCCCTTCTCTTTCTGACCGAAATCCAGATACAGAGACAATTTCCAAATTAGAATGCTTTTCAAAGAGCTTCTTAGATATTTTTTTCAAACTATGTTCAATACTTTTTAGAGACTCTTTGTGCGCATAATATTTTTTGCCAAAATATTCTTCTCTGTTCTCATGAAAGTTGACCAGTGCGCCTTCTTCAGAAGGGAATTTCCACAGTTTACATTTGATTGGAAATTTCATTTTGTGAAAATAAAATGTAGAATCTTTAATTTGTTCCAAGGCATCAATTACCAGAACAATCATCTCTATGTTTGATGGTATATTTTTCCCAAAGTAAAGTCGAATAATCTTTATATCTTTGTATACGTGAAAAAACCAATCTTTGAAATGCTTGAGTATTGTTTCCTTTGTGCTGGATGTTCCTTTAAAAAGAAAAGATAAAAAAATGAATATCAATATATTTAAAAAAAAAAAACATGATGAGTAAACCTTCTTTTTTTCCAAACAGCTGAATCATGAAATGGCTTTAAGTTAATTTTTCAAAAAAGTTTAACGTTATTGATTCCTACTTTTAAAACTCGCGCGTAAACGGGCGCTAGCATAGAAAATAAGATTTTATATATATATATATAAATTTGGTTTCATATGAATGAAGTTTCAAACTTTAAAAAATTGGGATGATTTAATTTGTAAAAATAAGTATGAAATTAATTCCCTCTGAACAATGATACAAGAGAAACAAACAGTGGTTAGCTCAGAACCTGTAAAATGTATTGTGTGAAAAATTGGCAAATGTAGCATTGTTTTTCCTGTTCTACTTGTACTTTCATATGATGATTTTAGGAGTTTTTTTTACCAATAGTAAAAAAAGACAAATGTTGGATTTTTAAAAAAAGTTGTTACTTTACATATTATACTTATGCCCCCGTAAACGAAATTTCGGGGGAATATATACTCAACAGAAAAAGAAACGCATATTATTTTACTCATTAAGAAATTTTGAAAAAAGTATATAGAATAACTATGATTTTTTATCATGGGATACCTGTGAACTATTTAAAGGACAACATAGGCTTTTAAAACCCAATTGCTAAATTGTTTCCTTCGATTAATCATGTAAATGAAAAAAATGTATAACATAATTTCTTGGAAATTGGAGGTCCATTTTCATTGATATTTTGGATTTAGTGAAACAATAAACAATTCTATTAAATTCATATTTAAGATTTGATTAATTTCAATGCTGATGCTTCTATGCCACGCATAAACAAAGATGAACGCAACAAGGCTATCACAATGATGCCAACGGGAGCTACGCAATCTGAAGTTGCGACTGCATTGGTGTACACAAAGTGAGCTTGTAAGGAGCTAGCGTCGAAGCAATCTTTAAACACAGAAAGGTGGATCCGTGATCAAGTAATTTATTTTGCAGATTTTTTTTTAATTTTGGCTGGAGAATAGGACTGATCAAATTATAATTGTTTTGTGAAGCCTATTTTATAGACACGTAGGTAAAGAAACGAGGGAGTTGACCTATTGGAGTTTTGGCGCAACGAAACATGTATGACCTTTACCAAAGGGGGGGATATTTAATATGGAGAAGATGCCGATTGAGGCATTGTATGAGCTGGTTTAAGAAAAAAATTTCTTGGTAATGTAGCAAAGAAAATACAGGGGAGTGTAAATGAATATAGAAAATAACTCAAAGTGTTTGTTGTATAAAGAAATCCAGAGAGATCCGAATTATGAAGATGTGAAGTAGCTTGGTCTTTTAGGTCATCTTTGTCAAGAAATGTTAGGTTAAAAGCCATACTTATCGGAATAAATCTTTATATAAATAATTGGATTTATACGTTATTTTTAGCGAAAATTTTTGTTTCTGGAATTTATCAGATTGGCTTAATTGACCATTAATGGCCAATCAGAAATAAGAGTCTATTTTGGTTGTGCTTAGACGTAAAAACACCTCCCTTGTCCTTGTTTAGAACAATCAGATAATGACTCGGGCTTTTTTTAAGAAAAAAAACCCGGAAAATTTGGAGTATTCGTATATGTAGTGGTCTTTACAGTGTAAGCTACACAATAAATAAACATAGTTTTCAATGCTACTACATGATAAAACGAAATTGTTATTGTACGGTCTATCTATAGTAGTTCTCAAAGTTTTCCCAGAATGCACAAACGTGAAGCCGAGCATACGTATTCAAGGAAGTTTGACTAACGTAGTTGCTAGCGCTCAATCAATCGGCTTTTCGGCGTTTAAACGTAGGTCTCCACCACCTAGTAACAGGGATGACAAACTAAGAATTGGCCGACCGCGGGATACCAGGCCCAAGCAGGAACATCAGCAGAACTGCTGTATAGACTGCTTAATTTAGCATAAATAGCAGAAATTGTTTGCAAGAGACGGAGAGGAGCAGGTATTCGTGCAAGACGTCTGTACATCGAAAATCAACTAGCCCTGAGACGTGAAGTCGCAAACGAAATATGCTAAGAGGCGACATCAACTTAATTCTCACTTGGCAACATAGGACATGTTTGATTTTATTATAACCGGTAGAAAATACACAAGTCGGTACTTCGTTTAATGATTTATTAACGGTCCAAAACTTGGCGTTTCTACTCGATCTGTGTGTCGGCGTGGATAGTGCAAGGTCCAGTTTCCAACTGAAGATTGTGTACAAAACAACCAATTTATAACAATAATGAAAGAACAATTATAATGAAGAGTTACTCAAAGGCATTAATTCATAATTGACATAATTGGAAAATAATTAACAATTTAATTCAAGTAAGGTGGCATCAATTGTCTAGCGGTCAAGGTCTATAATCATGTTATTTTAACACTAGATCAGAGAATATAATTATCACTCAAAATCTGTTCATTTCACTCGGTCATAGTACCCCGTCGCCCCCCCGAAACACGTCCTCGTGTTTCGAAGTTTGTCTACTGTTGGTGGGAGCTTTTCTGGCAAAATTTGAATTTCTTGTATGCTGGTTTCGACCTCCACGGGGCGGACCACTGTAAATTGCTCTTCTATAGGCAAGAAATGGTTCAGCATATTTGTTTTGCTTGAGCAGGGAAAAAATCTGTGATTTTTGGTCTTGGCTTGAAAACTCATAGTCAGATATACCTTTTATAGCTTTCTTCGACTCCTCAAGCTCAGTTGACGCAGCTACAAGTTTTTCCTGAAGTTCTCTGATAGTCTTGTCTTTCTCCGATAGTTGAACATGAAACGTTTTCCGCTCACACATCCATTTGTTTTTATGAAAACGAACATCCGATTTGTAGAGAGCCGCTTGTTCAAGGAACTTTTCAGCTTGTGTTTCCAAAGTTTCAGCATGAATTTCAACGACACTTACTGAAGAGAAAGGCATTTCACTCAAAGATTCTTTTTCTTTGTGGGTTGTCCGAAATTTTATTATTCTTTCTCTGTCTCTGGTTTGCTTCCTTTTTGATTTCCTTCGCACCGTACATGTTTTGTCAATCTGTGTTTCGACTGAGCGCGTCGGTACTGAAGAGACAGCACAGATGGTACGGAATGTCCGTGTTTTACACATCCTAGCATAGTGTCCTCTTCTTCCACACTTAAGACATGATGACGTCAGTGCGTTGCAGACGGTCCATCCGTGTCTTAATCCGCAGCGTTCACACTGTTGCGAGGTGAAGCGCGGTCGGACTGGTCGCATCCAAGCAGGAACAAATGGAAATAAGTCCATGATTAGGGGGATTCTTGTATAAAGGTTGGTAAACGCGCTCAGCTGTGTGAGAGTACTGGGATCTAACTACTACAAAGTATATGCAGTAGCCCTGGGTAAATTACCCTTAGGATTCTCCACCAAATATAGCCGGTAGAAAATACAAAAGTCGGTACTTCGTTTAATGATTTTTTAACGGTCCAAAACCTGGCGTTTCTACTCGATCTGTGTGTCGGCGTGGACAGTGCAAGGTCCAGTTTCCAACTGAAGATTGTGTACAAAACAACCAATTTATAACAATAAGGAAAGAACAATTATAATGAAGAGTTACTCAAGGCATTAATGCACAATTGACATAATTGGAAAATAATTAACAATTTAACTCAAGTACAGGTGGCATCAATTGTCTAGCGGTCAAGGTCTATAATTATGTTATTTTAACACTAGATCAGAGAATATAATTATCACTCAAAATCTGTTCATTTCACTCGGTCATATTATCACAACACACTCTAAAATCACTTTAAAAAATAAGGTTTAAACTGAAAACTTAAACTAACATGTTTAACCTGAATATGCGTTCCTTTTTCTGTAGAGTATATTTTTTACCTCTACGACCGTCTGTATGTCTATTTATTCGAAAAATTGAACCTTGCCCATAACTTTAGACTGGGTGGGACTATTGCCTTCATATTTCACAGGTGTATTTTTGTGACAAGACCTTTTTTGTGCACAACTAATTTAGACCTTTTGACCTTTACCTTGGAGTTTGACACACCTTTACACAAAAATTCTAAACTTTTACTTTGGAATTAAGTTTTGGGCGGTGTGTGCTAGGACTTTATATATCGCAGTAATACCATGATAAACTAAGAGTTTATTTGTTTTTGCAAAGTTAGTGTCTATAAAATCTCAGAAGAAAGGGATGTTACAGCAACCATTTTTCAGGTGTCTGTGGGGTAAAAGTGTTGAAAAGTGAAGTCCTTAAATGAATTGATGGATATCTCTAAAGGTTGAACCATTATTCACTCAGGTGTAATTTTTTCCAGTTTTGAGGATTTTTAATACATGTTTCACTATAAGAACGTTCTCGATGTGTTGGTATTTTCCGTATATAAGGAAAAAGTATAGTCCCTTATATAAGGGAGTTAAAAAGTATGTATTTTGAAGCTAAATGCATACAAATGAATATGCAAGTTTAAAGGTAAGACCTAATGGAATTGAATTTATATAGTTAAATTACGTTGGTTTTCTTGCTTATTTGCTATGTTTTTGGATTTGTAGAAATTTTCAAATTTTATGGTTATCAGAAACATATCATACCAATATCAGAACAAAACCTCTGAATAATGAACAGAACCACGCCAAAACATAATCATAAATTAATGATCCTCAATGAATAAATATTTATTCGAATTCTGCAAGACAAAAATAAATCCATACCATAAAATTGATTGTGATGCTACTATTAATATATGCAATCAAATAAATGTTGGAAAGGATTAAAGTACATAAAAATCACCCTACTAACATTCAGATATAGGTTTTATTGTATAAAAAAGTAAGGGGTCAAATTGCTATGGGGGTCATTTTTCAACGTGTGTGGAGTCGTACAATTACTGGTCTGGAAAGTTTTTACAGTCAAAAAATGACCCCACTTTTCGTATATATTTACCCCATGGTCAATATTCTACGGAGGTCACTTTCAGTTGTGTAGT